AAGTACAATTATTAGAATTCATCTAATAATATTATTATTTAAAATTGAGTAAGGTAATACACTAATACTTAAAAATAATTAAGTGAGATAATGAATTCTTACCACTTTCATAATCAATTTGGTCTTGATTTTCATCTTCTTTATCATCAACTTTGTCTGCTTTCTTCCCTCCTTCATACCTTATCCAATCTTCAGCACAAATCAAGGCCTCTACAATGGTGGGGCTCAACGAAGACCTAAACGGGCTGAGCACTCGACCTCCACAACTGAAAGCCGCCTCTGAGGCCACAGAGGAGACTGGAACAGCTAGGATATCCTTAACCATCTGGGAAAGAATAGGATATCTAACACTGTTCTTACTCCACCACAGCAAGATGTCAAACTTCATATCATTATCATCCTCGTTAATAGCATCATTAACATCTCTTAAGTAGATGTCTAGCTCAGAAAAACCTCGAATCCCCATCTGAAGTTGCTCCTTTCTCATCTTCTTGAATTCAGCATCAAATGTCCCTCCATAAGATGCACATCCAATACCATCATCAACACTAGGAGTGGTTTGAATAGTAGGCTGGGAGGGTTGAGGTGCATACTTAAATCTGTAAACCTCAAACATTGCAGTCATCTCTGCACTCACATCTTTCACCAAATCGTCTCCTTTCTTCTTCCCATACATCTTACCCAACATCCAAGACAAATAAGCCATTTTACGCCTAGGATCTAGCACACAAGCCATGTAAACCAGCCTATTTATCCTTAGGTTCTCCACCTCATCATCATCATCATTCTCAAACCAATACTTTCGTACCTTTGCCTCCATTCTTTCTGCCATCCTCTGTATCTCTACATCCATGTCTCTCTTAAAAAGTTCTATCACTTCATAGATGTCAGCAATAGCCTTGAAGAAAGTATGAGTAGTCACATAAGATGTTCCTGATAAGTCCAAAAATAACAACAAATTATTCACAAATTACAAGGAAATAAAAGTAAAAACTAAAAACCATGAATTTGAATAGATGGAGTTCTGTTCACATACCTGATACCCGAAAGGTGAGCTCATAAAAGAACTTCAAATACTTCATTAGCCGCCGAATACTGATCCAGTCTTCCTTAGTTGGAAGACCTCTCTTTGAGTCCACATAATCCCGGAATGCAGAATCACTGGGGCTCGAATGCATGAAATTGAAAACATGCTCAAACCTTTCTGCAGATTCCAACATCAAATAAGTTGAGTTCCACCTAGTTGGAACATCCAAAGATACAAGTCTTCTTTCATCCATTTGTATATATGCAATGGTAGATTTGAACTTTTCACTTCTGCCTGGTGATGACTTCACCCATTTCACACAATCTCGAACCCTTTCTACAGCAACTCCAACCTCCTTCAACCCATCCGACACAACCAAATTGATTATATGTGCCACACATCGAAAGTGCAAATACTTCCCACCAAGCAAGTCTGTTCCCCACTCTTTCATCTTTGTTCTCATACACTCTGCAAGAACATCATTAGAAGTAGCATTATCCATTGTAATGGAGAACAAGTGTTGTGCTTTCCATTCTTTTAGACATGCTGCCAATTTTTCTGCAATATCCTTCCCTGTGTGACTGGTGATGGGAACAAAACTAATGATCCTCTTCTGCAGCTTCCAGTCACTCCCAATGAAATGAGCAGTCACACACATGAAATTCTGGTTGTTATCAGAAGTCCATGTATCTGTGGTGATAGAAATTCTTCCTTTGCACTTGGAATTGAAGAACTCGGTCAGCAACTCTTTTTTCTCCAAAAAGATGATATAACAATCTTCTCTTATTGTCTGCCTTCCTGGTATCACAAACAATGGTTGGGTTACCGCCATAAATCTCTTAAACCCTTCATGCTCAACAAAGCGAAATGGCAGCTCATCCAAGATGATCATCATAGCTAATGCAGTTCTAGATTTTTGTTGATCAAACTTCCATGGAGTAAGAGAGCCTCCATCACCATCCCCAGGTTGATAGTTCAATAGTGATTGACCACCGGCTTCCTTCCTCTTCCTCTCGCATGCCAAGTGATGGTTCTTTAAACCAGTAGTCCCATTATAGATCGAGTGAGCTTTTATCAAAGTTCCACACTTTAAGCATTTGCCATATGGGTAGCCATCCACCAAAATCTCATCATAAGGAATCCACCACTTGGATGTCTTCTTTCTTTTCCCTCTCTTGACATTTTTCTTTGGCTCACCCTCTCCATCTGCTCCTCTTCCCATATCAGTAATTTGTGTAGGCGTAGCAGTTGGATTTGTTGCAATTGCAGCTGAAGGAGTTGCAGCTGCACTTGCAGGTGCAGGTGCAGATTGAGTACCACCCGTGGTAGGCGTACTAGATGAGGCATTCCCTTGTGCAACTGGACCACGACGAGTACCGCCCTTTTTGGAAGTACTTCGAGGAAGACGCGAAGTAACTTTCGGGTCATCTCCTTTACGACCATGACCACCAGTTGATTTTGTCCTACAACAAAAATGATTAAAACCATGAAAAAAAAACAAAAATCATTAAACATTAATTATTGACAATTTGACATATAGTTGATATCAATTAACAAATGATATTATGTTATTATATTTACTTATTAACAACCACACTCAACAATGTCAACAATCAACATCAAAATAATAAAAATAGTACATCACTTATTCTTATTCACTTACATTTTGTTTTTGTTTTTTCTTTCTCAAAGAGCCTAGCTTCTTTGACCACGTTTGCTGGCGGTAGTTGGAACTTGGCTATGCAATGGGATGGGGAGGTGGGCACCACTAGGCACTAGCAAACAATAAAACAAAACTAAAAATTACAAGAGGAAGAAGACAAAATCGAGGTCCTCTGCTCCCCTTCTACTTTATCTGCTCTAGGCTCTAGCGGTGCTCCTACAGTCCTACTAACCTGAACAAGAAGACAATTTATTCAGTATACATATAAGTATAAGTGTTCGGTCGACGGAGAATGGGTCCGACGGCGATTATATGTGCAATTAAACTTCATGCAATTAAACTTCTTACCTCAACTCCGACGAGGCCCTGGGCTGCTTTGTCGAGCGGGAAAGCTCCAACTGCGATGAGGATTACACGAGCAGCAGGGTTGGGTCGACGGAGAATGGGTCCGACGGCGATGGGAGCGGAGCGCTTTGGGCTGCTGGGTTGTGCTTCGCGACTCGAACGTGCGGCAGCGACGGAGAGAAGGAAGATTGGAAGCTTGGGTTTGATCGGCGGGCAAACTTGGATTTGCAGTTTCGACGGCGGGCAAGCTTGTGAGTCTCGAGGAAGGCAGAGGGGAGAAGGAAATTTATTTACTAATACTAATACTAATTAGAAAAGGAAGGCCAAAGGCTGTAGGGTTGGCAAAGTTGGACTTGGCGATTAGGATTTCTGGAGCGGGCGAGCGGCAATCTTTTCCTATTTCGGTATCGGAATACCGGACAGCCGATGGTAAGTCCTCCCCCCGGTCTCGGTACACCGATTCCCCCCAGCCCCACTGCCGCATACCGTTCTTCACGGTTAACGGTTTAACCGATAACCGTGGTTACCGGTACGGTTATCGGTTAAACCGTTAACCGGCTACCCGAATCCCAGCCCTAGATAGGATCATAAGAGAAATGAATGTTCTTGGGTTATTATGTTACAGGTTGGGTTAGGGGTATTTGATGTGGCTAGTTTTTATGAAGTTGTGAGTCGAATTTTAATTTTTCGGGTTAAAATGAGGTGATTACACATTTTTCGTTAGCATGTTAGCTAAAAGACGACACCGTTAACTAGGGGTGGCTATACGGTCCGGTCCGGTTAAATTGGCCCAAATTGATTCGGTCCAGTCCGGTTTTTTTGAAAATATAAGGACTAAAGATTGGATTGGATACAGTCCGGTCTTGATCCGGTCCGGTCCCAACTCGGTCTTGATTTTATATTGAGGTTGTGAGGATTTGAGTGGCCTAAGGCCTGAAAGGGTGAGGAGTTGGTTAAATTTTGTACTAAGTGCAAAGGTTTGTCACCGTTTATGCAAATTACCCTTAAGTTTTGGTTGTTGAGATCTCTTATCCGGTCTTTATCCAGTTTTCGATCCGGTCCCGAACGGTTTTTTACCTCAAATCTAAGCCCAAAGATTGGATTGGATTGTTTACTATCCGGTCCCGATCCGGTCTCAGTCCGAGTTATACGATCCAGTTTTGGGTAAAACCAAAAAAGCCGGACCAAATAGCCAGCCCTACCGTTAACGAAGATTGATGAAAGATAACGGCCAATAACCAAACTTGGTGTACTGAATTAATCTAAAATATCATAAATGGGAATAAAATAATTTTTATAGCACACGCTGAAACATTTTAGTAATTCAGTGACCAAACTTGTAATTTACGCATTGCTATTCGTCGCCCTAAAAATTTCTTATTCGTCGCCCTAATTAAATTACATTTACTCTAATACCCTTAGCTCAATTATTTGTCTTTCACAAATGGTAGCCGGCTCGCCAAACCCTAGGTAAACTAGAGATCCACTTTTCCCGAATAGGAAGACTGTTGTTCTTAGCATGCTTGTCCTTCGTTTCTGAACTTTGTCCAACCCATTTGATATTTTCCTCTTAACTGGTGCAAAAGTATATATATATATATATATATATATATATATATATATATATATATATACATGGGTCACACTCGTATGCTCCTGACGCATAGCATGCGACAGATTTTCTACACCGTTGATTTAATCTAATGGCTTGTATTAAATATAATAAAATTAGCTATTATTTAAAATTAAAATATTTTAGTTGATTCTTTTACATTTTCATACGTTCACTTTAATCCCCCAACAAATGATTTCCTTTATTTTCATTGTACGGTACTTAATTTCTTTTAATCATAACTTAAACATCCAAATTTTTTCCATCAAAACAAAAACATCCCAAAACTTGATATCATCATTTCAACATCTCTAACAGGCTCTCGTACGAAAAAAAAAACCCTCAAACAAACTGTGGCATTCAACATCGAACTTCCCCACCCAAACACCATACCCATAAGAAAATAAATGCAGAACCCATCGTCGAACCCTCTCCTCTCTCGTTCACCCATCGTCGAACCCGCCGTTTACCCCCGCCCCGGTCACCCCTTCCACGCCAACCTCGATTATGCCGTCTACCCCTAAGCCGCACATCTCCGTCCTCCCGCTCGACGCCGTCATCTTCCGGCGGTTCGACGCTGAACTCCTCCTCCAAATCGTCGTCATCGACCGGAACGGTGGTCGGGATTGCAATTGGAGGTGTATTTGGCGACAATGGATTCGGTTGCTTAGCTCCTCCGCCGCCGCCATCTTCCGGCGGTCCGACGCCGAACTCTTCTTATCCTTCCTCCAACTCGTCGATATCGACTGGAAGGGTGGTCGGGATTGCAATCGGAGGTGTATTTGGCGACAATGGATCCAGTTGCTTAGCTTCTCCGGCGCCTCCTGGCCCGAAAGGTTTGATTTTTCTCAATCTTTTCCCCTCTCTCCTGAATTCCAGAAGAAATTTCTCAGCTTTGGGGGCTAATAAGCTGAAACAATGGTATGCTAATGATGGCAAAAGTATAACTTCAATTTCTATTTCCAGGGAATGGTCTTGTGCAGGAAGGATTGATGTTGTGAAGACTATCTCTCAAATCAAAGATGAGAAGCTTGGGACTTCCGGAAAACCAGATTGGATTTGTGTCAATGGAGCTGTGATATACATAAAGGCAGATAATTTTTACTATACATCTTGCATTGGGGACGGACAATGCAACAAAAAGGTTACAAAATATGGAGATGGGAGGTGGTGGTGTGACCTGTGTGATCAATCTGTTGATGAATGTGATCATAGGTACATACTCTCGCTTCAGATAGAAGATCACACGGGCTTAACATGGGTAACTGCTTTCCAGGAATCAGGCGAGGAGCTTATGGGAATGTCCGCTAAAGATCTTCATTTTATGAAGTTTGAGAACAAGACGACGACGGGTTTCTAAAAGTTCTTCGTCAAGTTATGTTTACCAATATATATTCAAGTTGAAAGTGGAAGAGGAAACATTCAGTGATGAGCATGTCTAGTGCTGTTCAAGGCAGAGAAGATGAACCATGAATCCCTATCCAAAATCCTTTTGGATTTGATGGAAAACTTCAAATATGGGAACCTGACTGCTTCAGCGCCCAAGGTAGAAAATGGTTACACAAAATTCTGTGTTGATTACTCCTAGAAAGGAGAATTTTGGAAGTGGGCAGACTGGATTGAGTTCAATGGGCTTGCCAGCTAATTAAGTCAATAAGTACATTAACCAAGATAACTCGAGGTTTCCTACATCGAATGTATCTAGGGGACCAATATAATGTAACAGCTGTGGAGCCACAGGCCATATAGCTACAAACTACCCTACCATTTCACTAGCCCCAGCAGCAAGGAGGGGCCTATGGCAGTAGAACGTTGTATGGAGCTGATGCTAGGAATGGTAGAGGAAGATGGGGCGGCCTTGGTTAAGTTTTTTTTTTTTTTTTGTATAGTATCACTGTATCAACTATCAAGGGGATCTGAATGTTTCAAGACACAACTTCATTTACTTGTGGAGCTGGGCCATCAGTTTTTTCAGTTTTTATTGTTTGTTTCTGGATTCTGTTTACTTGTGCGTTATCACACAAGGAAATTTATGGTCTAGTTACTGGTAATATGGTTCCTTGCATTCTTTGACCTATCATGTTTCTGATCCTTAGTGATACTTTGCCGCAATTCTTGCATTGATGACGGTAGAAACCAAGTCGTTGGAATAATATAATTATTTTAGCTTGATGCTTTTGCAAGAAGGTAGTGACCAGCATTGACAAATATTGTGCTGAAATGCCTAGCTTGACAATTAGACACATTGGTTCAAGTTCCCAAAACATTGGGAATAGCTTGCTGGTGTCAAGCTTCTGCATTTTGAGTCGTCAAAGGTGATGTCGTATCCTTGCACTGGGAATAGCAATGGCCTGCAAATTACACGGCAAAGAACTCCTTTAGATTGATTCCAGGAGAAGGCAAAACCGGAAAAAGGGAAGTCAAGTCAAGGGAGGAAAATTAAAAGGAGACTTGCATTGGAGTGGTGGAAAATGGTAGGATGCCGTTTCTGTAACTAAGTAATGACATGATGGTAGCAACTGAAATAATAGGTTCCTATAGTGAAAACTTTGGGCCTCACAGAAAGGAATACTTTGGTCAGATTTCCAAGAGATGTTAATGGAAGAGAGTAGGCTGGGTGATGAGATCAAAGATACTAAACTGTAAAATTTCAAAAGAAGAGGTCATTTTCTGATTCGATTAATTATATGCTTCAAAAACACAAAACAAAAAGGTTTCTCATCATACCAACCTTCTTGCACTCCCGATGAAGTCCGCATACATGCGCCATTGTTTAGGATCATCATCGAAAAGATTGCCAATCGTCCACCTGCCAAGAAGCAAAGATTTTAACCATAAAGTCTACAAATAAAATCTTCTTCAGTTAGCAGTTCTTCAATCAAATTTCCAAACCTATGAACAAGCCACGCAAAACTCCAATGCCGTCTTTAGACACCCATCTACAAGAACAAAAGAATCTCATGTTTAAAAAATTATATATCAGACTCTCATTTGCAGAAGCTGCGTAGACCATAGATTCACCTAATTGCAGCAGCTCTAGCAGCAGCAGCAGTTCCTTAAGCGTAGCCAACACCCACACCCTGCAGAATTTCATTCGAAGTAGTTAATATAATAAGTACAGACAAACATTGGACCCAAAGTTATGCCAGTCAGGATACAATCGAAGCTACAATAGGATTAAAAACGAAAAACTAGTGGGTAAGGAGTTTTGATTCCTAGAAACATACCCCAAGGAAAGTTAACTGCTTGAGTTAGATTCGCATCCCTTAAGAAGACGTGCCGTGATTGATGCGTAGCAGATCCATCCAGTGGCATTGGGGTAGAATTGTAACAACATGTACTCCAAATAATCCTCTGAAACTGATCCTAGAATTACAGGATGGAAGGAATTGCAGGATGAAGCATATTAGTGTCCGAGGAAATTGACAGGTTGGAAGGAACTCTTTCTTTTTGCTAAAAGTGTAATTTACTGAACGTGATTACAACAACGAAGCAAAGCTAAAAACTAGTTACTTATATTGAGGGCAAGCAATTAGTTTCTCATTGTGTCTTATGTTATGTCTCCCCCAGCATTTGTCCAAAGCCACATATAAAGTTCCCACAGCAGGCACACCCAAATCCAAAATGGACACCTAACCTATGAAACTGTATGCCACTACGTTAATCCATGAATGCATTTTTTGTTCAAGACTTTTTAATAAAAACAGAATTCTCTAACAAGTGGGTACAAGCAACCTGCCTTGAGAAAGTATAAAGTTCATTTGGACGCTACCATATATAATACACATACAATGAACCCAGTAGATTACAGACCAACAAGCCAAAAAAACTGACTTTAAGATTTGAGTTCCATTAAACTGAGAGTGCAGAGGGATGAAAGAGGAGTACCATTCCAGTATGCCTATGAACCGAATGGATCCTTCTATTGGAACCGGGGAACATCTTCTTGGAAGCTATGAGCTTCTCCACACCCTAAAATTTGAACTAATACACATAAACAATAAATACCCAGCGAATTCTAGTGAAGCCCTTGAACAAAAACCAAGAAACTTGAAACAGAGGGCCAAAAGAGAATTGGAAGAAGTGCACATTTACCATGGCTTCAAGAACTTCAAAGTGCATGTCCATATCAGGGGCCCTGTCAGCGAAGTAAAGCTTCTGACGAACCAGTAACTACCCCTGTAACAACACTCCTCCCAGCCTCAATTTCTAGCAGATACATCAGTTCATCCTTCTCCTAATCTAATTTGTTTTCCCTGATTAGACAACAAATTAAATTAGAAGAACTAAGACAAACAAAGAAACGAAAAGAAAAATAGAATAGCAACTACCTGCGAGCTGTATGACGAATCAATGATGCTGACAACGGGAGACGGGGAAACCGAATTCACATGCGCGAAAATGTGATAGTTCCTGCTATCAGGTACCGAACTGTCAATCACCACTACCCAAACCATAGATCTTGATCTCCTCGTCCTCATCACCATGCACATTGAGCGCAATCTTGTTGAGGTTTTGCTTGAACGTTTCAATCGAGCTCCCATCACTCCAGAAATAGGGGAAGAAACGCGGCCGCACCTTCGGTCGCCAGCCAAGTCAAAATCGACCATATTCGTCAACTCCCCATTCCATATCGACGATATGTAGCGGAGAAGGAGAATGGAAATTTAGAATGAAGGAATTGTTTTTGTTTTTCTTTTTGTGAAAAAGGGATTAATGTTTCAGTCGATGCCTCGATGGGAACTGGGAAGCGTTGAAAGGAGGCCGTAAAATATTTTGGCGGAAACGAAATACAGTTTTCCGGAAAAAAATAGGGAAATTCAACTTTTTAAAAATTTATCTCCCGCTATTATTCTCAAATGCAGCGGGAATACTAGAGGGAATTTATTTTAACTTGATGCATTCAATTTCGTTTCCATTAGTATGGTATGTAAATTATATCTAGTATATAGTATCCTATAAATTTATAATTTCCTTTTAAATTATTATTTACACATTTGTCACGATTGTTTCTACAGATCGAAAAATCGGAAGGTCGAAGACCCCGGTGACTTCAAGTAGTAGCTTGATAATCCGATTCAAGGCATACTCATGTCAACAACAATTTTATCACATATTCAAGTTATATAGTAAATAGTATCTGGTCAATACTACATCAACTAAAAAACATAATTTCTTCCAAGAAGATTGAAGCGATACGGATGTCGAGTGGGGTGGTGCATGCGTAAATCCCTTCCAAGAGGAGTGAAACAAAAAGTGAGCTAACAGTTCAATATTAACAATTACTTTTCATCGATGCATTAAACAACATGATTTTGGTATAAAAAAAAACTTGATGGACAATCTGCTCACCCATTACTATGATCACTTGTTAGAAAGTATGTATCAACAATTGCTTTGGTACATTTATAGAACCATTGTGACTTGTGCTATTTGATTTAGTTAGTAGTTCGCATCAAGTTTCATCAATAAATAAGCTTGATCTCACTCTAACACGAATACAAAAATTAACTTAAGAATACCTCAATCGAAATTGGACCTTTCATAGTTTCGCTTGACTTTGTGATACTCGACATTAATAGGGATGAATCTCATAGAAACCTTTTATATGTTAGAACCAATACATGGTTTGTCAAATGTAAATTGCAGATACATATAAGGAAATGTGTAAGATTACTCTAATGGATTTTCCAAATGGAAGTAGTGAATAATTCAACTGCACAAAGCATAAAACTTGTGCATCCACGCTAAAAGCTACATTTTACAGGACGGGTTTCTGTTATTCGTTCCAAAATGAACAACATTTGTCTCCTACATGGAAGATCCTCTCATGAGACAAGTAATAAAACCAAGTTAGGAATGAAAATCCATTATATACCATCTCAAGACCATAACTTGTTCATATTGTAATATGTCTATTTTACTTGTAACGTTATTTATTATTTTGGTGTGATATGCTTTAGGGAAAACAAGATACAATAAAAATAAATGTCAAATATAGACTCCGAGTCAGTCATAAATACCTTTACTACTCCTACTCACATAGCTATTTGTCCAAACAAGATAGTTTATTTCATACTACGAACTTCTAGCAACACAATCACGATTCTTAGTTTAGTTACACTCACCTGATTCTTAGTTTAGTTACATTCACCTAATAACAGGAAAATGATAAACTCCTAGTCATATATTATACATTATGTGTACTGTAGCTCTTGTCATGTGCGTTTATAAAACACAAAGAGATTAAAAATCCTTCCTATTCAAGCATATATGTACCATAGTTAAAGAACCAATCATGAACAAATGCATGTACGACCTCCAAAAACTAAAAACTATCAGAACCATCATTCAACACTAATTACAAGAAAAAAATCAAACATAATGGGGATGAAGATGGTCGAGTACAAACCTTTTTAGTTTTAGGCTTTAATTACAAGTCATTAATGGATGCATGTATAATGTATGAATAAAGGTCTATGTATCAGGAATTACAGTTGTTATTCCAGCCGAGATGGTGGAAGTTGTCGTATGTAGTCGACAGGTCCGTTGTTCGATATCTCGTATATAAATCACTTTCTTTTTTCTCCCAGCCCAACCCTTTCCTTTGATCAGCTCCGCCTACAGATACGTCGTCGTTTACTCACCCACGATTCAGTAGGGAACACAAAACATCGTCGTTTGGCGTGCCTCTTCTTCTTCCCGAATCTCCCTGTGCATTTTTGATTCTCAACGCCGGCCACGAGCGTATCAACACCGTCTCCTTCTCCAGCAACCCCACGTAACATCCTAATCGCCGCCATCGCCACCATAATCTCACTGCTATCTCCAGCGTTTTATTTCTTTTCCGGCAACCCCATACCATCCCAATCACCGACCTCCCCGTAATTCCACCAC